AAAAAAAAAAAAAAAGCAACCTGTATGTGTCTAAGTGTGCACATGAAAAAAATGGGGAAAGAAAGAGAGATATAGAGTTCCTATGAATTTGTTTGATTATCTGCAGATTCCTTTCTCTCTCATGTTTCTTTCATCCCATTTTCACTTTATAGCTTTGCAGGAAAACAATGATCAGTGTCTGAAAATCATAAGGCCCTGAGTAAGCACTAAGCACAATTGYATATGCATTTACACACACCCATGTAGCTGCTGCTACTAAATTCAGCCTCTAAAGGCTCCGTGTATTGATGATTCTCAGGTATTGTGACTGATGGCAGAGACAGATGCCAACAATTGTTATCTCAGCAAATAAAGTTCCATGCTGCCAAAGCAGCTGAAATAAATGGACCTGTGGCAGCCCAGTGAGTGAACAACTCGCCAGTGGGAGTGAAAGAATGCAGATTCTGACTGAAGTTATGTGCTAAAATAAAGTTCTATCTTCAGTGCCTCTTAGAGAAAAAAAAATTAATGATGCTTAAGGGTGACTTTAACAGATAAAAATACTTCTCCTGTTAGTTGTACAAGAAGTATGTCTGTTTTATTAATTTTATAAAAAACCACTGCATATGGTTCTTTGGAAAAGGAAGAATGGGACTGGTTTCTGTATGCATAGGCTAAGAAATTGAGTCGTTTGTTTATTCACATATTCATTGTCCCACCTGATGGCCAACCTGATGAAAAAGGAACAGAAAATATCCATAATATCTGCACATACAGTATTAGTCAAGACAGTGAATGCATACAGAAGACAAGCCTATGCTCTCTATTCATGTTAAAAAGGTTGTTAAACATAGTTACAAAAATTCTGGTTTTGCTCAATAATTTTATACTTGCATAATTTAACTACTCACTGCAATCTCCTACTCTTYGATACTGTTTAGAGGGTCAAAGTTGATGATCCTGTGTTTAACACATTTTCAACCATGTGTTCCCATAAAAGTGCCCATCTCTGTTTTGATAACACATCTACAGAAGGGATTTGAACCAAAATATTCACATTAACAAGGTTTTGTTAATGCAAATTTCATTGATATAAACAAATCCTTAGTAACTTAGGACATTTAGTTCCATCTAAGGAAAAATCAGGCTATGGGCCTCTCATAAAACACTTTAAAAATACTTTAAAAATAAATAAAAAATACTAAGCATGCTAACATTGCATATGCTGCATATATTTTTTCTCAAGTATAGCATGAAAAAAGCTATAATTCTTTGCAGTAAGCCCTGCTTGCTTCACTGTGTGCTAGATTTTATGTTAGTAGGATTCAGTATATGCATCAGCAGGGAGATACAACTCATAATAGCAGCCAGTGTGATTTTACACACTCCCTTTAAAGCAGTGCTTTCTCAATATTTTACAAATTATGATTAAGCCTCATTGGGTTTATAATAAAGTATTGCCTATCTCTCATAAAGATGAACAGAATTATGTTTTAGAGAAGAGTGCAGAGTCTGCTTTCTCAAGCCCTGCTGTAAATAGGACAAGCCAAGATAGCTGTGAAGAAATGTTTCAACAATCCTACTGGGTATGGTGGCTATTACATTAGAGATGCAAGCCAATGGTTAATAAAGTAGCTCATAAATCTGGAATCTATTATCTGGCCCTGGAAATGATGCAGCTCCTTAAAAGTACATAGACTGTGGTTGTATTGGATGAAAGTAAAGGGACACGGTCAACCTGATATCTAACCAATTACTAAATAAGAGCTAAAAGTGGTTCTACAGACATTTACAAAATCCTGCCTGCTTCCTAGAATTTGCAGGGGATTATTTGTAGGTAAATCACATATTCCTGGCTGATTTGTGGTAGGTCATATTCTACTGTGATTGCTTTGAGTTTCAAAGATCACAGATATGGAAGCTTTCCTTCCCTACAGAGAATAAGCATTTCACATAGACTTGCACAAACTTTAACAAAGTATAAAGATTCTTTGTGTTCTCCTCCCAAGCTGCAAACACACATAAAGAACTGACGTCTGTCTGCAGGTAAGTACTGTGCTTGAAAGAATAAGGAAAATATAAAAAGTGTTTGAAAGTGTTTTCTCTTCTGTTCACCTATCAGAAAAACACTGCAGGGCTGGTCCCCTGACAATACAAATACGAAACTGTTTGTGGTGTTGTGCATAAACAGACACATTGCACCTTTCTGATGGGAAAGATGAGCTTCTAGCATGGGGGAAAATTTCCCAACTAATTTATGGGGTTTGGAGTGGTTCTGGTAAGGAAAGCAAAAGACACTAAAAATCTTCCATGGAAGTAAAGTTAGGGTTATAAAGAAAATAATTATTTAGCGTAGTTTTTTAATGCTCTTGTTGAACTCCATACAGTTGGTGATTGTCCATCTTTCTGATTTGTCAAGATCTCTCTTCAGGGCCTCTCTGTCCTCAAGGGAGTTTACAGCCCCTCCCAGTTTAGTGTCCTGGACAAACTCACATGGTATTTGAGTTTTGCATCCCTATGATGATGTTGAAGAGAACTGGGCCAAGGGTGGAGCCTTGTCCAACCCCACCAGTGAGTGGCTGCCAGTCTGATGTCACCCTGTGTACTGTGACTCTTTGTGGCCAAGCCCTGAGCCATTTGCTCACCCACAGTATGACACAGTTATCCAGCTGTGTGCTGCAAATTTTGCCAAGAAGATATTGTGAGAGAGAGCATCAAGGTAGCAAAGGTCTACAAAAGCAAAGGCTAAGAATAAAAGTAAAATTAAAGCTGTCATCATTTGCAGATGAGAAGGATTAGAAAACAATAATATGAAAATTCTTGGACTTATCCTGYGTGCAGTATGCGCAAATAATTGAGCCTCAGCAGTAGAATGCTGTCCTTAGTGCATAAAGGTTCACGTCAAGCTGTTCCTGGGCCTCTGGCTCAAGTGTGTATCAGGTCACAATGCATCTGTCCCCGTCCTTCTGTAATGTAGAAATCCTAGAATTATGTACTAATTGGAGAATACTAATAATATTTCTCACTTGGACTTAAAAGAGAGCGTCTTGCCTTGTATTTGTGTGAGCCTTATTTCCAGGCTCCTGTAGAGTTRCAAATCTCTTCAGAGCCAGGGATAATGGCTCAGTGTGACATTTAAGCAAACTCTGTACCATGCTTACTTGCAGCCTGAATGGCCAGAGACCAGCCTTTATGCCATTTGCACGTTCTGAGTCACTTTTGTCTGCCTTTGAAAGCAGTGTCCATAAAATGAAAGATTAATGAGATTGTCTGCAGCCATCCCTCACACAAATAGCATTCATCCCCTCATCACTCTGCCTCTGCAGAAATGACAGACCTGCTTCACAAAACTCTGATATCATGGGTTGTGCAGGGTCACTTCCCCAAGCCTCTCTGCCCTGAAAATCATGTGCCTGTGCAAACTAAAGTGTCCTGGTCAGCTCTTAAAACACATCTTTCAGTACAGCCACAACAGATCAAAATAATTATTATAAGAAAACTAGATTTCCAAAATTATTTCCTTACTTTTTTCTCTGAAAAATGATATAAAAAAATAATTTCTATAATGGAACTAAAAGGAGGTTTTGCAGAATAAATAGAAAGAGAAAAGAAGGATGGGAAGGAAGGAAGGAAGGAAGGAAGGAAGGAAGGAAGGAAGGAAGGAAGGAAGGAAGGAAGGAAGGAAGGAAGGAAGGAAGGAAG